CAAATCACATCACATCGAGACGCGTGATTCACCTGAGCACTGGCCAGGCACGGTGCTGCATTTCTTATATATAGCCATCTGCCGGCCAGCATCCCGTGAGGTCACTTCGTGACTTTCAAATCACGTCACATCGAGACGCGGGAGTCACCTGAACACTGTCCTTTTGTTTTTTATGACTTTTGGGAAGTTTTAAGTTTCTAAAATCCATCGTTTAGTAAATAGTATATTGGACGTTATACCTATAACACCTTAAGAAGGACATCTTAGAAAAACGATATTTTATTTTGTTTTTATTACTTTCTGTCTATACTAGTTTTATTGAAATATAAATCAAATTTTTGTATTAAATATAATTTTCTGTTTAAGTACACGAACTACTGCAAATTTTATTTACAAATTAATATATTATAGTGTGGCAACTCTCCGTTCGCAAATTTACGAAAATGTCAATATCTAACGGTTCAAATTGCGCCAACGTAGTGCTTAGCTTAATTTTTCACCGCCAATCTCTCTACATTCGCTTTACAATATTTTATAATACTGCAGCTAATGTCTAAACTACAAATTAGTTTACTGCATTTGCTAACTCAGAATTTACATGCAATTAAGTAGTACCCCGCTAACCTAACCCTATTTTAGGGTAGTATTTATATAGTATGTTTAACTAGCTTAATGTTTCAAATCGAAAAAAATAGTTATTTTTGGTTTAGTAAATTATTCCTCGGGATGTGCCTCATTGCTACCTGCCGCCGGCTCTGTAACGCTTTCTGCGGCGCTTGCCTCCACTGTAGTCGGCGCTTGCACCGGTACTACGGCTGCTGCATTCTCCTGCAGCGTTGGCAACGTGCGCGTATGCACGCCACTTGTTTCAATGACAATCGTCGACACTTCGGCATTCTCAATAGCATTCGAATTATTTGCAGCCGCCGGCACACCCGCATGCTCGGCAATTACTGGCTCCAATTCGGGCGTCGTATATTGATTAACACTAATCTCCGTTTCGGCCGCAGTAATATCGATACGCGCTGGAAGCTCATCCTTATTTGCTGGTGTCTTAGCTTCCTGGCCACCCTCTAGTCTAGCAATGGGTTCGCTTATTTCTGCTGCCTCAGTCACCTCCACAGCTGGTGCAGCGGTGATGGTAACCGCCGGTGCTGTTGCTTTTGTATTATTAACAATTGCTGGCTGGGCGGTTACTGCGCCTATTGTGACGGGCGCCACCGGTAATTTTGCTACATCGGCGGGCTCGGGCGTTGAGGCCTTCGATTGCGCGGGCGTGGGCGCTTTTGATGGTGCTGGCGTTGGTGGTTTTGACCGTGCTGGCGAGGTAGAGGGCGTGGAGCTGCGTGAGCCCAATTTCTGCTTGTGAGCGCTCTTGTCTAGCAGCAATGACGTGGCTTGTGGCGCTGGGCTGCCCACGCGTTTTATTTCCTCTATTTTGGCCTCAAGCTCTTGACGTATATCACGAATCGGCTTGAGTAGAAAAACCGGTACGTCATCGTCGCGACGTTGGAACAACATTTCACCCTCAAAATCGAGTAGTTTATGTTTACGTGCGCGCAATAAAATGCCAACGACCTTATCGGAGATATAATTGTAAATCTGTGCGTAAGAAAAAAGGCGAGGAGTTCATTATAGTATGGCGCAACGTCAAATGTTTACGATACTCACATTGAAGAGCTCGCCGAATGGTATGACACGCATTTTCGGCTCATCCTTGACATTGTAGCCTTCTGAGTCGATAATTTGACACAGTTCCAGCATTTCGCGGAGCACATGCATGTTCGCTTTTTGTCCACGCATTTCTGTCAAACTGCCTGCCAAGGGTCTGGAAAGAGTAAAATATAAATATGTAAATATAGTGTTGAATTTCTCGAGGTACCGTCTCCTTTTCTACTTACTTGCCATATTCGTCTTTGGAGAAGGTCGGCTTTGGCGACACACGTCCATTGGCCGTGGAGAAGGGATTCAAAAGCTGTTGCTGTTGATGTTGTTGCGTTTGTTTGTTAAACATTGCCACTTTAGAAGAGAGCGACGAGTCCTGTAGAATAAAAAAAAAGAAGTAGAAGAAGAGCGATCAGTATATTGGACAATTTGATTGCAGCTATTGGTTGAATACTTGAGCCATGACGTCGGCAGGCATTTTATGTTTGCTTTAAGTTCGTGATTCTACTGTTAATTTAAAACTTGTTTGGCCGAAAGATGTGAAGACTTTGTTATGGTTTTGAGACAGACTAAAAATTTTTTAATGAATTTTAAAAGTTTTCATTTTAAAACTGACACTTCATAATAATAATTTGAAATTTCAAACGGCAGTTTGTTGCAAAGTGGATTACAGTAGATGAGTTCGACACGATCAAAATTGCATGTTGACAAAGGATTGAATAAGTTGAATGTCTCTCAGTGATTTTCTCCCCAATAAACAGCACATATGTTGGAACCACCGATATCGAACCACTATAGCATATAGCTGCCATACAAACAGACCGATTAAAATCAAGTGCTTGTATGGAAAATATTTTGACTTGACAAGATATCTGCACAAAATTCGGCTTGGATTATTGTACAAGGGAACGCTACAATATCCGAGCATATTATTCAGAGCGGACCACTATAGTAGGTAATAGCTGGCATACAAACTGATCGATCATAATCAAGATAAAGATCTTTTTATACCCTTTTATGCTATAAGAAAAGCACTTGTGAAGGGTATTATAGCTTTGGTGCAACAACAACGTGAAGTTAAATTTTAATGTTATTTAAGTATAATTAATTTAAATAAAAAAAACAATTTTTTTATTAAAATTGCTGTTGCTTTTTTTTATTTCTTTTTCGTGTTTTTTTGTCACAATTTGACATACTTAATTTAAATAAAAAAAAAATTATTAAAAATTTACATGTTTTAAAAAATTTTAAAATCAAAAATTTAATTATAAAAAATTAAATTAAAAAAACAAATTTTAATTTAAAAATTTCAATAAAAAAAATTTTTAAATTAAAAAATTTAATTTAAAAAACAAATTTCAATAAAAAAATTTTTTTTTTTACCATTTTTCTGTATTTTTTATGTCATAATTTGAAATTCTCAAACCCAATTTCATCATTCATTCACAAATTCGCTCATTCAAAGTTCATTCATTAAATACTTGCTTGAAAAGCCAATTTCACATATTTCTCTAGTAACCGCAATGTACATATATCACCGGGCGTATGCGTGATTTTAATTTTGCTTCATTCTTGTTCTTATGCATTACGTCAATTAATCAAAACATTAACAGCGCATAGTAACAGCATTTCAAACTTTTTTTTCAATTATTTTTCTAAATGTCGCGAAAAGGGCTGATTTATTTACCATACACCCACAAGAGTGGCTTATTTTTGTTTTTGCGCACACATTGGCAGCAGGTGACGTGCATAAATTTCGATTTATGCACCTGCATAATATATTCTAATATATACAAGTATATAGTATGTATATATGTGTGTATGCATGTGAGTGCATTGTAAATAATTATAGTTGCTTGTGCAGCAACAAAAGAGAGGAAAGAGTAACTCTGCGCTACTCGAATTTTGATTTATTTTTAAAGCGCAACTGTCAATGGCGTAACAGTAAGTTTTTGTATTTTTTATCGGCGATCGTTTTATCTGTATTAGTTATTTTTATTGCTGCAACGAACTTCGCATGAAAAAATAGCTCAAGGTTGCAATAATGTGAAATGGCTTACCTATGTTTATTTAATTGTAGACGCCGTGTAAAGTATAAAATTTTAAGGTTAGTTTGCTTAGATTTGTGATGGAAGATATGTACATTATACATATAATGATTTATTGCCAAAAGAATGCGAACACGTGTATGCGGTAGCTGCTGCAAGCGGTTTCATTACAATTTTTCGCTAATTTCGTGCATATTTAATGATTTGTAAGTACTTTGTACATAAAATGGTACTAAAGTCCAATAGACATTTTCTTCCACTGCCATACACAAAAATATGCGAATATGAGCGCACACTTGCCAAAACATAAAATAAACTTCCTGCAACGTGTGTCAGCCTTCAGCAAATGCCAACAAGCAAACGCTCAACCTCGTTGCGGCCAAGCTAAATGAGCCTGCGCTCGACCACATGTGCAAAATATGCATTTTATTGTGCCCACACGCAGAAGTATATATATGTGTGCGTTTGTGTGCAAGAAAGCATTTAAACTATTTGTAAATTAAAATGCTAAACAAATGTGAAATTGATTTTTATAGCCGAAACACTTTACTAAAATATATATTATTTTATTTTATGTGCATTTTAACCGTTACATTTGTCTGACAGCTGCAGCAACAAAGCTAAAACGTACCTATACGTATGAGTCATGTGACATAAAAAATAATACAAAGAGAAATATAAAATAAAATAATCGAAATACTTTAAGATTACAAATGTAGACAGGAATTTTTGCAAACCGGAAGCTATTGTACATCAATCAGTTTGCATATTGCAGAATTGGGTGGAAAGGCCGCAAGTTGTCTATCAAAGTTTTTGATTGATTTTGAATGAATTGAACGCCAATAAGTAAAGCAAAATACAAAATTTCGCATCTGCGGCATCAAAAGGTCGTTTGTAGATGCATAAATTATTGCCAGATTGTTTTAACATATTTCATATTTTGTTCAGCGCTGCGTTCTGTATCATTTTGACATTTTAAATATTTATATTTCTTTAATAATTAATTTGTCTTTTTTTTTTTTTTAATTATTTTTCATTTAAACTATATTTTTAAATATCAATTAATTTTATAATAAATTTATATAAATTATTATTCTTAACAGAGTTAAGTTGTGTTAAATATATTTTATTTTCAAAACATAATGTATACATTTTTCTGGTGTTTAATGTTTATTATGATATATAATTAAATTAAATATTTTTAATTATTTTTGTTATTTAATATTTTTTGATTTTTAATAAATTTTTAATACTCCCTAATTTTTGTTATTATTTTTTTAATTTATAACTTTAAACTTAATATTATTTTTAACTAAGTTGTGTTCTTTTTAAAAATATAATGAATAAACTTTTCTGGGTCTTTATGTTTATTATAACATATTATTAAATAACATTTTTTTATTGTTATTTTTTAAATTTTTTGTTTTTTGATTTGATATATTTTTTCCTTATTTTTTCTGATTTTTTTTATAACTTTAAACTTAATATTTTTAACTGAGTTGTGTTTTTTTTAATTTTTTTAAATTTATTTTTGCTTATTATTTTTTAAACTTCTTTTTATACTTTATTATTTATTACAATTATATTAATTTAAACATATTTAATTTAATTTAAAATCTAAACAAACCTTTTTTCTGTTGAAGTTTTTATTGTTATTTATTATTATTATTGTTATTTGTTTTATATGTTTTAATATTATTTTATTTTTCTAAATTTCTTATAACTATCTTTTTTTATTATCTTATTATAATTATTTTTAAATTTCTCTTTTTTTATTTTTTTAATTATTTTTTTTTTTTAATTTCTCATAATTATCTTTTTTATTATTTTTATAATTATTTCTTTATAATTATTTTTATAATTCTTTTTAAATTCCTTATTTTTTATCATATGTTAAAGTTCAACTTTTTGGATATAAAATCCGGATATATTAATTTAACCGTATCGGATTATATCTAAAATCTTAACTGAAATATTTTGTAATTTTTTTTTAATATTTTTGTATCAAATTTTATGTAAACTCTAATGTAACCTTTTTGGTGTTATATTTCTTTTAATTTTTTATTAATATTCTTATTATTATTTTTATATTTTTTTAAATATTTTTTTTTTGAATTTTCTATTAACTTTTTATATATTATGATAATCTTTTATATTTATTTATTTCTTATTATTATTTGTTTATATTTTTCTATATTATTATTATATTATTTTTCATATTCATTTATTTGTTATTATTACTTGTTTTTATTATTTAATTTTTACATATTTTTTAATTAGTGTTAAAATAAAACTTTATGTATAAAAAATCCGAACATATTAATTTAAACATATCTAATTTTATCAAAAATCGAATCTAACTAAGATTTTACAAACATAAATACAGACACATATTATATTTAATTTTTTCCTTATTTCTTTCTTTACTTCTCATTTTATTCATTTTTCATAAATATACTTATAATTTTATATAAATAACTTAATGCAAAGTAACCTCATTTTCTTATTTTTGATTTTCTTTAACTTGTATTCTTTTTAAATTTTGTCTTAATTTTATTTTATTTTACATACTATATATAAATTTGCGTATCTGAGCACTTGAGCGTAAATATGGTATTAGTTAAATGTGTTTTATGAAAATTCCAAGCATTTTTGCGGCATTTTCACCAGGCGCGTACCATAAATCATTGACAATGAATAATGCGCACAAACAAATGACGCGGATTTACAAACGAGCTTTGTGTTGAATTGTTGTCAAGAATGTTTAAATATACAAAAAAAAACAAGTCTCGAAAAAAAATCATCGATAACACGCAAACATTGAAACTGTGCGAAAATATTTGTTTAAAAACAAAATAAATTTTCATCGTTCTTTTTAGATGCGTTAGGCTTCTTTGATAAATATTTTAAATAATATAATAATACTGCAATTTTGTTTGGTGATGTTTTTTTGATATGCCAATATATATTTTTGCAACAAAAATGTACCGTTTTAAAAACATAACGCAATTTCTTTAAAAAATCACATAAAATTGCTTGTTACTTGTATTAAAATTGTGACATTGAAAACAGCTTGTCTACTCGTATATAAAAGGAAAAAATAATGTGTACACGACCACTGTCTTTAATTTGCACCCCCATGCTACATTTTGCAATGTCGCAATTTATGAACATTTATCTAAAGCGAAATACAAATGTTGCATATACAAATGCATTTCTTATGCTTTTTTCGCATTTCCACTTGCGCCGCAATTGCAAGCAAAACGCAAGAGTGATCGTGGAAAATTTGTTCATTTGACAAATAAAGTTTTTTTCCTCCATACATGCATACTATATGCAATATATGCACACCCACTCATATGAGTACCCAGAAAATTATGCGCATAACACACCCCTTAAGTTGGTACAGTAGCAAAGGTTCACGAACATGCCTTGCAAGTGTATAATATATTTATATACCATATACATATATATGTAAATGTATTTCAACATATATTTCAAAAGAAAATTTGCAATTTGAAAAACCGTTAAACCGGGTGCGCGCTCATTGCTGTTGGAAAGCTCTAAAAGTTTTGGCACTTGACGCGATGCGTCAATTGAATTTTTGCCGCCAACAACACAGCAACAGGCAGCGGATGAGCATCTGAGGCGAATGCCGCCTGGGCGGCGACAAATGCTCATAATCACGTTGGACCATGAACGTGAACGGACTGCCAAACGGCAGTGATCACTGTCATGGCGACGATTTTGTGGATGTGTGCGACTTTTAGTTTAGATATTTTTATGAATAGACATTCCTTTTATCCATGTGTTTTTTTGTTTATTTAATTTTTGGCAATTTTCTTGTTGATTGAAAGTTTACTAGGCGCATATATGTATGTACATGTATACATACATATGGGTAATGTTATGTGGGTGTGCTATATTTTTGCGTGTTTTTTATTTATTTTATATTTTTAAAGCGTTGAATAATGAGCTGAGCAAAAGGTGTGTACCCATGCAGACGTCAAATGTGGCACCAATGACGCACTGCGCTCGGCACAGACATTGTGATAAAAATCAAATTCGCAATTTTTTAAATTTATTTTGTAAATAAGTTTTTTAAAATTAAAACTTTCGTTACTTATGTATGTGAAAGTGTGTATGTACATACATATGCAGCATATGTATAATGCAAAAAATTTCTTTTAAATAAATAGCATAATAAGTAAATAAGAAAATGTCTATTGAAATTTTATAAAAAAAAAGACCACAAATTGGCAATATATCCAATATTTTCCCAAACAATTTTTTGAACTTAAACAATAATAATCTCTAATTTAATACCAATTTCTAATTTGATAATGGTATCTAATACAATAAAAATGTCTACTTAAACTCACGTGTAAACGCCGTGTAATTATAATATTATCTCGTGCTTGCTTATAAACAACGGTTTGCTATCGACTTTCTTTTATTGCAGTCTCACTTAAATGTGAGAACGTCACGTGTTGTTACTGTAAAATTCCCGTTAGTTGAATTGTTTGAATTTCATGCCGGATTTTTATTAATTATAAGTTATCTCGTGAAAAATAGTTATAGTTTTTATGTACTATCAATTTTTGGCTGATTTTGTATTTGAGTGTTCAACTATAAATATTAGCCAAAATTTTTAAATAGTGATTTATTTTTGTGCAAAATATATATTATATCTAAAGTATTTTTTTTTTGTACAGAAGCCGCTAATTATACTCAGCTATAATGTAATAAATAAAGAGATAAATAACTCCAGCTTATAAAATTAATTATTTTTAATAAATAATTATTACAAAAGTAAATAATTTTAATAAAAATTTATTTAACAAAACTGTTTTTCAATAAATTGCGTTTTTTTTCAAATTTTATTTGAATTTTTTTTAAATTGTTACTAACATATTTATTTTTTTTAACTTAATTAACTAATTTTAATAAACAATTATTACAAAAATAATTATTTTTAATAAAACATTATTTAACAAAACTTTCTATTCAAAACTTGTTTAATTTTTTTTACTTTTACTAGAAGTTTTTTGGATTTCTATTGACATATGTATAAATAAATTTTAATTTAATTAATTACTTTTAATAATTAATTATTACAAAAACAATTATTTTTGATAAAACATTATTTAACAAAACTTTCTATTAAATTTTTTTTTAAATTTAATTTCCAGTTTTTTAATATTAAAATATTTTTTTTATTGACATATTTTTTAATACTTTTTTTACAGAAAATATTCACTAAATGTTTTCAAAAGAATGCGCGGTCATAAAGTTAATAGCATGTTATAAACAAAACATACAAAATTTATATTTTTTTGAGCATACACTCGCATAAATGTACACATGAACATACAAACGTCATTTACTTAAGCGAAGCTCATTTCTTTGGCAACTAAAAAAATTTAATATTGGCCTTGAATGTTTTTGTTTTAATAAAATTTGTAATAAAAAATACTGAAAATTGTTTTGAAAAATTTTAAAGCGAATAAAGTTTGCAATTGGAATGCAAAGTATGGAATATAATGTATACATATATGTATATATAAATAGAATATAATAAATATATGTATTTATATATAATATAAACACTTGGCTGTTAACCCCAAAGCAGACAGAAATATCTACATAACACAATAATTTATTGGCCCATACAAAATTAAATATATATGAATATATTTTTTTTGTATATAAGCAATCTTGCGTATGATATATGGGCAATCAAACATAAACAAGCATTTCGTAGATATTTTTGTGAATTAAAAAATATTTTAAATATACAAGTATATTATATTAAAGAGCGATAGCAAAAGTATTTCAAATTCCAAGTGCTGATTCAGAAATACTAAATAAATTACACAATACATTAACATACCGCAGTAATGCGTATAACGTAAGCTTTTTTTTTTTATTAATATGCCACACCTTGTGTTATTGAATGGCGTCGAATCGATTGTTACGCCTGAACGCATTACGCATACGCCCTGTTGCACCGCGCGCTACGTCACTAAGCCTTGTATTTGTGCTGTTTCATTCTTCATTTTTTACTTTCGTTTGTTATTTTTGTGCATTGCATAATGGCTTTTTCATTTTTGATTTGTATTTTTAATTGGGATCGCTGCGCATTGAATGCGCAAATGGTTGGAAATTATGAGTGCGTACGTTGAGCAAAGGCGCCAAGAAAGACCATTGCATACTTTTTGTTAGTGTTTTTTTTTTGTTGCTTGTTGCTGATACAAATATAGAATATTGATATCTGAATTTTTTTTTATACATATATATTTTTATTGTTTCAGTTAAGTTTTTAATATGAATTCAGATAAATTTTTTTATAAAATGTGATTTTCAAATTAAATTTGCACAAATATTTTCACTTTATTTTTTTATTTTTAATTTTTTTAGTTCATTGGCTAATTAAGTCTGGGAAACGTTTTATTTTCTCATTTATACTCTTTTCATTGCGAAAAAGAGAAAGTTGCAAATAATGCGGGAGTTTGTATCATTTCCAGCAATTGACTTTTTTCGCAGTATATTTAGTAACTACAAAATAGCAAATAACGTCTAACAGGGTATATTTTTATATGTGTATACTTAAAATGCCATAAAATACAGATCCATAGTTGTTTTAAAAAATAAAATTAATATATGTACGTAGTATAAAAATAGAAATAGTTTTGCAAAAATATAAACTTTTTTAAACAAAAATTTGCAATGTATATCCTATCAAAAATTTTTTTAAATGCTTTAAAATAGAAATTCATAACTTTTTTTAGAAAAAAAAGTATATACTTAAAATAATAGAAAAATATAAAAATAATTTCAAATACAAAATATTTTTAAAACAAAAATCTACAATGTACATATGTCGAATTAAATTTATTTTTTAAACTTTCTAAGAAAAAAAAATTGATAAATTCAAATTAATATAAAATTATAAAAAACTGTTTTAAAAATAAAATATTTTTAAAACAAAAATTTTGCCATAAAATTTTTTTCAAATTATATAAAATACAAGTTCATAACTTTTTTATAAAAAAAATAATAATACTTAGATATAGCAGTAGAAAATACTTATAATAATAGAAGAAACAAATACATTTGATAATTTATATACAAAACATGATATTTTTACGAAATTACATTGATATTTAATTTATTTTTTACATGTTTATATTTTCACTATTTTTAACATTGCTAATTTTCTTTGGTAATTTGGTATTTGTTTTTCAGTTAGAGCTACTTTCTTGTGGTCTAAAAATTTTTAAAATTAAATTTTTTCTTCTTTATTGACATCAAGTAATATTTATAATATATATATTGTTAATTTAATATTATTTATTTAAATCTTTGTTTTTAATATTTTTTATATTGCTGTAATTTGTTTCGAGATTCGGTATTTATTTTTGTTTTAGCTAAAATAATTTTTCGGTTGTCTAAATGTTTTTCAAATTTAATTTTCTTTTATATTAATGTAATATATATATATATATATTTTGTTAATTTAATATTTTTTTTTTATATATTTAAAATTTTTTTTATTTATTTCATGTTTTGTTTTTACGAGTACTATTTTTTTGTATTGCAGAAATTTAGGTATGTACATACATATATTTGTGTTGTAGTAATTTTTTTTTATTTAGTTATTTTTTTGTTGTTTAAATATTTTTTATATTTAATATTTTTCTTTATTTATTAATATATGTATATGTATGTATTTTATTAATTTAGGCTTAATTCTTTTTTTTAATGTATTTTCTAAATATTTTATTTATATTATTTAATGTATTTAAATTTTAATTTTATGGTTTATACTTTTAGTTTTTACCTAAAAAATATATTTTTACTATTTTTATTTTGTATAAGTGCATATGTATGTTTGTTTATATGCATTGCCGCTAAATTACCTTATTTTCTTGCCTCATTTCTGCTTATGCTCTTAAACTGTCTTCAACTATTTTCGGAATACCTTTTCCCAAATGCCAACTTCATGCGTCATTCTCAAGCTTCATTTGCATAAATATGTATGTATGTATGTAACGTTCTTCACTACCACTTACCACTACAAAACGCAGTGCGCCCAATTCATGCGATACATCTGCCATATTTATTGCTGTATAGGTGCTTTGTTTTTGTTGTTCTCTTCAATCAACTTGTTGCGGCAACAATTCTTCAATTGTCTGTTTTTTAATTGAGTTCTTTTTAATTGGTTGATCGCTTTACGTGTTGCAGCTTGCAGCGAGCGGAAATGTGTTTTATGTTCAACCAAAAATATTGAAATCGCACACAAACGCACAATTTGTGAATGCGCGCGTATTTTACGGTTTAAAGCAAACGGTTTGCACACACGCACTTGCACGCGAACGCAGCTCGAGTATATGTAGTGGTTGTTGCTAGCAAAGCTCGCACGCGAGTTTAGTTTTTTATAGCGTTTTTATAATTATTTTTTGAATGCTTTTGTGCGATAAAAAGTACCTTTCTTAATATTTTTAGATAAAATATTTTCTTCTTTTCTTATGCTTACGCTATTTTTTTAATCAATTATTTGCTTATTTACGTACAAAATCCTTCACAGCAGACCCGTTACGTTACGTTTACGTTCACGTTCGTTTGTTGCCTGCGTAGAACTGTGCACTTCTTCACTTGAATTTTAAATTTTTGTATGTATTTAATTTCTTATTTTCTTAAATTATTTGCGTGCCAACAAAGCATACAATTGTATTATGCGCTTATTTTTGTTGATGGTCGGGCGATTGCCGTTTTTAGATTGCTCGAATTCGTGGTGTGGCTTTGGTTTTTATACGCTATTGAATGTGAAAAGTCCAATAACAATAACAACAATATTAGCGGAAAACCTCTACTAAATGTTGTATTCGGTTGAGCAGCAGCGGCAAGACATATGCACAAATATTTAAAATAACAACAACCACATCGAAAGTAGTTTATTAACCAAAACAATGGCAAGAGTTCACACACTCTCCGCTCGTGTTTTCTTATTCGAAAATTTCACGCCGTCTGCCATCTTCGGCGTTTCATTGTGCGACTGCTTAGCGTATTGGTATTCTTCTTCTGCTTTTGTCATACATATTTACAATATGTATGTGTGTATAGTTTTGAATGAGCACTTTGACTGCTGCTCATTTGAATTTTCCGCTGGCATACGGTTTTGCTCTATTTTTCAATGGGAAAACTACAGTTTAGTGCGAAGCAGCTCTCATACATATACATATATACATATATGTATGTATGTGTGTATGTGTGTATGTATGTATGGGCATATGTGCGTTTCAGTTGTAAATACTGTCACAGTTTTGATTTTAATTTTATTTCTTTTTTATGGCATTGTCTTGCTGGTGCTGGTTTTTCACTTCTTTCTGCTTGTTCAGGAATGTACGATACTTTGTATAATTATTTCACTACCCGCTGAGGTTGAAAGTATAGGGAAAGAAAGGTGATGTATATTTTTTTTCATCTTTATTAAATGATAAAACAAAAAACAAATAATAAAAAAAGTAATAATAAAAGTAATAAAAAAATAATAAAAATATATATAATAATAAAAAATAGTAACAATAACATATAATAATACCAAAAAATAAATAATAATAAAAGAAAAATAATAATAAATAATAAAAAAATAACAATAAAAATAATAAGAAATAATAATAAAAAAAAATAATATTAATAAGAAATTATAATAAAAAATAATAATAAATATTAATAAAAAGAAAATAATAATAATTAAAACTAATACTAATAATAACAAAGATAACAATAATAAAAAATAATAATAATATATTTATAATAAAATTTAAAAAAATAATAATAAAATACAGTATAGCATAATAGCATCACTGGTCGATTAGAGTCGAGTTTTTAATAACCAGCAATTTTTATTGCCAGTACGCTAAGGTGCAGATTAGTTCGGAGAGCCCCAGATTGACACTTGGGCAGAAATCTTTGCTCCTCCACTCTCTCACATTGAGAAACTCGAGCTTCAGTATATAACCATTCGAAATGCGTTGCTATTTGCTACTTACCTATCTAAAAAAGATTAGGTCGCCGTAATAATAGCACTTGGTAGGATAAATTCAGGTCAATTCCGGTAACGTAGAACCGGCTTTTGTGAGAATTTCTGTTTTTATATTGCTTGTTTGTCTTCGGCATCGGTATTAATGTCTATACTAATTTAGTTTTTGTCTTAAAATGAACAGATATTCGGTCCGTCGTCCACACTAGTATCAATTTTCAGCATTATAGTTCCATTAAGGGACACACCTGTGGTAAGATGTGCTCCTTTAAGTAGAGTTTTAATCGCTAAATTATGCCATTGTACAATTTAGTCTTGCCTCTAGATCTTATTGCTTGTTTAGCGAACTCTATCAAAATGTTATGTCACATACGAAGTACGGCCGCAAGCATATTGAAACTCTCTGCATCTTTTAATCAATCCAATATTGCGTAAATTCACCATACATTGCTGCGTGAGGTCACAAAGTCCGCTTTTTGTTGTAAAATTGAAAACTTTGTATGCAGCTTCACATTTCAAATAACTGTTGCTGAAGATGTAGGAAAAAGTAAACAGTAAAATATTGTGCAACAACACACAATTTTGAGAGACATAAGAAAATTGTAAGCGGAAATTGAATTATATAATATTTTTTTTTAGTTATTGTACTTATTTCTTCTTCTTCTAATTTTTGTTTGAATAGCGTTTGAGAACCACTGCCTTAACGCAGCGTTTAGATTCAGCAGTCTTGCGCAGTGGACTCGTATTCTCTTTTACTCTTTCGGAAAAATTGTACGACAATAATTACGGTACACTAAGAATTATATGTATGTTGAAACGCAAAAAAAGTCGAAAACACAAATTTTCTAAAATATATAATGCATAATGAGTTCTAGATGTGTAGGCATAAATCATTTTCGAAAAATTTGCTGCAACACAGCACAAAATGTTAGTCATAGATATAGTTGAATTAAATGAACTAAAATAAACAAAGTTATATACATATATATATTTTTTAAATTTACTTTTAATATATTTTTACAATATTTAAATTTTTTTTTGATTAAAATTTTTTTTTAATTTTACAACAATATTTTTTTTTAATGTTATAAATTTTTTTTTTATTAAAAATTTTTTATTTAAATTCGTTTTAATTTTTTATTTATTGTTTTAGTTAGAAAAATTTTTTAAATTTGTTTTTAATTTTTTTTTCATATATAAATATTTTTAAACTTTATTTTTTTTTTATTAATATTTTTTCTTTTTTAATATTTTTTTATGAAATTTTAATACAATAATAATATTATAAATATTCAAATGCACTGACACATAAAAAATAATATAATAATTTAAATATTTACCTTACAACTCAGTCATCACGACATACACCTGAGCATCTATTTCTTAGTCACACATTTATTAACAGAGTAAATTTGCTTCTTCTTCGCGGGACAGTATTTATTTTTAACTTGAACCTCTTTCTAGCAATTTCTTGACACTCATTGGAATTCCTCCGAGCACGCTTGCCACATATTTCTTCCGTTTACAGACAACTGTTAAATGACGTTCAGCAACAACATACGCCAACAGCTGATTATGACAGCCGTCGCAATTATAAAGGTATATTTGAACTATTATGATTGGCAAAGCTCATAATTAAAAAAAAATACAGATATGTGTGTGAGCTTATTTGCATATTATGCATGTAGCACATTAATAAGCGAAAATTTTACACAAATGCAGCAAAAAAGAAAATTAATTAGATGCAATAAAATAGAAAAAAGCATATTTGACATGTGAGTATGTACATACATATGTGTGTATCACTGCATATTTTTGTAGCACTTGGAAAATCCACGATTTTGAAGGGAAATATACACAGCAGTGCACACTCGTATGTAATTAAAATAACAACCTTACAGTGACTCAGAAAAGTATTTCAACTAACAGCTAATAGCGTCTCTGTGATAGATCTAGTTTTATTTTATAGCGACTGTTGCTGTTGGCTGAATAAAAATGTTGTGCCGATTATGTAGATCCTTTTACTAAGGATCTTGTTGACCATTAGGCTAATGTATTTATGATCCTTAATTAATTGAAAAAAATCCGAAAACTTAATTCGAAATATGTGGATCTGTAATTTGTAGATATATTTACTTTAAAAACTTGAGTTTTTCGGGGTTTGTGTTTATATTTTGACCGAGTTGAAAGCTGTAAAAATTTCCGGAGAGAGTTAAGAACGCTATTAGAAAACATAATTTTACGTTGATTTCGTGTTTATATTTCCACAGCGAAAAGCTGCTAAACTTTTTGGTTATTATTGTAGATCCCTAACACATGTTCCATTGTGTAAAAAGACAGTAAAACTGATTTTTGAACAATTGCAAAAATTATTTCTTTAAAATTTCGTCAATATATTTCAATATACAATACATAAACTCAAATTATATCATTCGGCTGATGAATACGCTCGACAAATGATGATCGAATGTAGAAAAGCAAAAGCGAAAAATGTGATAATCGACAATAAAAAAAACTTAAAATTTGCATACTAATTCTAATGGCATGCATATGTATGTTCGTATGTATATATATTACTGTCAATCTGTGTTATATAAGCAACATACATACATTATATTTACTTTTTGGCAGCAGTTAAGCCACAACAAAGGGCTGTGTGTCATTACACGGCTTCCGCTCGGATGATTTTCGCTATGCTACATTTAGACACGAACCGATTTTTCTTACCTTTCCTAGCTATGTGTAGAAAAAAGTATGTATGTATATTTATATATACTGTATCAAATTTGCACATTAATCACTTTGAATGAGTGTTGAAATAATGGTGCAAATTTCAATGGCAAATAGCACGCTTTCTATATAAATACATAAATATTTTTCTAATTTCTGCATATCTTTAACACTCCGAAAATTACTGCATTGACGCATGCGAATAATAGCAATGCGAGCGTTTTGCTGTCAACAAACGCGTACGAGCATGACAGCGGCATTTGCCGTTGCCTGTCGCGCTGATTCTTGATTGCACAGAATGCAACAGAAATTGCGTCGTTTGTGAAATTTTCATGAAAATTTTAATTCATTCCAATTTCGTCGCTTATTTAAGTAGCGTAATAGAGACCAGAAAAATAATAATAATAATAATTTTAATGAATGATTTTGTCAATAAGCAGCAACAATGTTTTCATTTCATTCATTTCGAAAATCACAGCTGCGATGATAGCTGATTTACCGAGAGATAATTTGCGTCATACCCGAGACATTAAGTAGCAGGAAATATTTTTATATACATATGGTCACAGGCATACTTGTAAAATGAAAGACATACCTAGACGGCATTTAATTACAAAAATACAATACATATGTATATAAATGCTAACACACAGTTACACATTAGGGTTGTCATATTTTTGCGTCGAAAGTTTAGCGTATTCAGCATTTTTTTCTTCGAATTGCATTCGGGATCTGGTGTTTGGTCTTTTATGTAACTACAATATATTTTATAAATTATGCGAAAAATAAATTTTTAACAATCTTAAATGCACAAATTAGTTATGCGCGCTTGGTTGCACAGCGTTTTTTTTTATCATATTTCGATACAAAAGAGATTTAGTAACCCGTAGCGCATTCTCGTAGACGGCTACTGACAAACTTAAAATGAATTCACCGGCACAAACCGGTAGCCAAGCAACAGTCGAAACAGTGGACCTCAACCGGCGAAACTGCTTCGAAGAAAACAAAGACTGTACTCTTGAGCGTTTTCTAGTATTTACAAGTCGTAATCTACATCGACTATCTTCAGATTTTATTTTTATATTTTTCGTGGCCTAAATCTAAATCTGTGAGCCTGATAGCAAGTAACTATCAATTAAATTTAGTTTAATGAATCATGTAGGAGTTAACGTCAATTAATGACTCGTGAAACTTATTTCATGTTATGCGTGACTAAGCTTCTTCAGCGTCTCGGTAATTAAGGA